CCCTGGTGCTCGTTGCTGCCTGGATTGTTTTTCGGGTTGTGGCAGGGCGAAGTGGGAAGGGGGGAGGGGACGAGGGTCGATGGTAGGAACATTTAACGGATAACGGATTTATTAAATCCCGTATTAATCAGTAAATATGGGCATGCGAAGCTTTGCCTAATCTTGCCAAAGAGATATAGGCGGACAAAAGATGTATAGTTTAGAACTGTTTTTTGATACTAAGAAATTCCGAGGGGTTTTTTTTTCTCTCTTATATTCCTTCCTTTCCTTCTCTTCCCTGAACACCACAACCATCACATACTGTCGAGGTCCAGTCATGGTGTTGAGCTAAGACGTATATGACTTAATGAACCGAAACTTCTTAACTCAGTTGTTTTTTCCTACTGTTTCTTCGTCTCCTTATACACCTTCCTTATTTTGGCACCCTAGATCAACATGGTTGCTACAATCGGCTTAAAGAAATGGGAAAAAACAACAGGCAGGCACGAGTGATTGTTTGGATAGAGGAAACTCCGTAAAATCGGAATTTTTCTCTGCAGCAGAGAAGCATCCAACTTTAGCGCAATGGATAAAGAAATTCGATGTTAATGCTATTACTGGAATGCTTTCAGATGATGGGCAATACTATGCTTAGTAATTCGATTCTGTGTTGAACACCTCCCCACTGGTATCCGTAGCCTAATCAGCTTCAAGCCAGCTTCACGAAGGGCTTCCCGAATAGCTATTTGTTTTTCTCGCAACTACCACTCACTGTCCATCGATTGTCAGTAAGACAAGCACTGTGCTCTCTCTGCACTGAATTTCAATTTTTTGCACAATCGCATTGATATTTTGCATGTCTCCATGCTTATATTTCGTGCATCGAGGTTCTTTTTTTTGTCTTACAACGTTTTTTTCATCTCTCCGAACCACTCTAAATTTATAATTAATAAACTCTGTTCTTCCTCTTCCTTTTTCCCTCTTCCTTCTTTCACCTTTTTTCCTTCTTCCTCACATTCCCTCCTTTCTTTTTCATCCCTGAACACCAGGACCGTCATACTCACGAGGTTCAGTCGTGGTGTTGAGCTAAGACGTATATGACTTAATGGACGGAAACGTCTTAATTGTTTTTTCCTACTATTTTCTCCTCTACTTATACGCCTTCCTTATTTTGCACCCATCAATATGATGCTACAATTGGCATAATCATAAAGAGACGTATTGTAAGCATTTCGCTCCATTGCTTTCTCCACAGCGACCAGCACATTCACTCATTAGTCCCGCGTTTCGCATCCGTATGTTATTGCCTTTAGCACAGTGGTATGAGAGAGATGGGCGCATGTTTCCATGCTTATATAGTCATAAAGAGACGTGTTGTAAACATTTCGCTCCATTGCTTTCTCCTCAGCAACCAGCGCGTTTACTCACTGTTATATTCGAAACCACGTTTCGCATCCGTACGTCATTACCTTCAGCACAGTGGTGTAGGAGCGATGGACGCATGTCTCCAATTTTATATAGTCAAGAAAGAGACATATTGTAAGCATTTCGCTCTATTGCTTCCTCCACAGCGACCAGCGCATTTACTCATTTGTTTTATCAGAAACCACGTTTCGCATCCGTACGTCATTGCCTTCAGCACAGTGCCGCTAAAGAGGTGGGAAGGGGGGGGGGCATGGTCCTTCTGGATCGGCATTTTGTGGGCCGAGAGATTATACTTCTGGCTATTTTATGTGCCAGAATAATTATTAATTCACTTGAAATGTTGCAGTAATGGAACTGATCAAAACTGGAATAGCTTTGTTTCTTTTGTCGTTTTGGTTACTGGTCCTGGCTGAAGAACAGGAAGAGCAAATTTGCGATACACGAGGTTGCCTCTTTTGTGTTTTTATCTTTTTAAATCGACGATCAGGCTACTCTAGGCGAGCCTTTGATTCAGGCTTTTTCTAGGCGAATCTTATATGGTACAAGTACAACTCGTTTTATGGTACAACTCGTTTTATCCTTCGGCTGCCCCCCTTCGCCTTCCTTTCCCTCCCCCCCACCCCCTTTCCTCTGCCTCTTTCCTCGCCGCCCCACACCCCTCCATTCCCCTGTCCTCTCTAAAATGAAACCGAAACGATAGGATTTCTGAAATTCATAGTATGATTACCCATCTGCGGATAGTTTACATCTTTTCTAAGTTCGTTTGGCCAGTGCCGTATCACAAATCCGGCGATAGTTTAATCCCTGGAGAGGATTAGCGGCTCAGCAGTTTTTCCCGCACAAGATTTATAGGAGATATCTGAAAGCCCCATTGCCCTTGAAAAGTAAAGAAGAGAATTCGCAACGAAACTTATGCTTAGAATCCTGAGATCAGCTGTAATTATAAAAACCCGTCCTTTTTGATACCAGCAGTATTAGTCAGGTATGCCCTGTATTAGCGATCTTATCAACCTCGAAAGGCCTGACATAGCTGCGCTTGGCATCTTACATCTATACGACTTAATGGACCGAAACATTTCTTAACAATTTATAAAATTATTAATATTTTTCCCCTTTCTTCTTTTTTGTGTTTTTACATTACTTTCTTTTTTTAAATCCAGAAGCATTTAGGAATGAAACGGTATCCCCACAATTGGTGCTCGGACATCCGCGGTATTTATAGGTTTTTGTTAATTTCAGAATTAACACAACAGTTCATCAAAGTACCGGCAAAAGTATCGAGTTGGACGAGCTCCACGCCACTGGATCTGTATCATTGCAATGGATTTGACTACAGCGTAGCGCACATATTTATGGATGTTTATTTGCAAATTAATCTAACAAACGAGGACACTTATCAACTGTATCAGGTAAGCCGTTTTTAGCATCCATGTTGATGGGTGCCAAAGTAAGGGAAGTGTATATAAAGAGGAAAAATAGTAGGAGAAAAATAGAAGGAAAAACAGTTGAGTTAAGATGTTTCGGTCCATTAAGTCATATATGCCTTAGCTCAACACCAGGACTGGACCTCGTCAGTATGACGGTCGCCGTGTTCAGGGATAAGGAGGAAAGGAAGGAATATAAAAAAGAGGAAAAAAGTGAAAAAAAAGGTGGAAAAAGGAGAGAAAAAGGTAATGTCAAACATACACGACAAAACCTCCTGCTTATCCTTCCTCAGTGATAGACAGCGACACTCAAAAATATCCTGGATGATAGCAAATGCCAACAGCAACCATCACTTAATTGGCCTAACTGCGCCCTGTTTTCAAAAATTGCTTGGAGGTAGATTAACGGCGATTTTGACTATCCGACATACGCTCATTGCCAATTTATTGTCAAAAAAAAAAGAAAAAAATCAAAAATCCCTTTTAATATGGAGAATATCAAGACCGTCAAAGCTACCAGTATGAGTATCCCCTGTCACAGTGGTGGTACTGGAATTTTTTCATAGCCCGAGCACAGCTATGCCAGGCCCTTCAAATGTTGTAGAAATTTTAAAAATACAAACAGTGAATATTCCTGGCAAGAA